GGGGGGGGGGGGGGGGGGGGGGGGGGGGGGGGGGGGGGTCAGAGGGCTGTCTGGCTCAGTGGGGCTTATCATGCTGCTTACTCCCCCCTCCCCCCTCCCCCCCCGGAGCCTCAGCGCGCCACGTCCAGAAGCGGCCCTGCACAGCGCTGCAGCGGCGTGGCTCCACGGGACCTGAGCTCCCGCCACTTGGCCCGGAGCTCGGAGCCCTGCCCCCTCACCACGCGGCTCTGAGCAGGAGGAGCTCAGGCCACGTGACCGCAGCGCTGTCCAGGGCCGCTCCCAGATGCGGCGCGCTGAGGCACCGGGGGATGGGGGAAGGCGGAGGCGGGGGGGAGCCTCTGACATTCTTGTGGGGGCCCCTGCGGGGCCCGGGGCCTGGGGCAAATTGCCCCACTTGCCCCCCCCTCTGGGCAGCCCTGAACCCACAGAATATTCAGGTTGCACCCAGTGCCAACAGACCAGTTACTCACCCAGTATTTGCTTCCTAAATTTCACACCAAAGACAATGTCGGAAGTCAATTCTATAGCAAATTAACTAAAGATTTATTAACCAGGAAAAATAAATGAGAGTTATTGAGAGGTTAATACAGGTAAAATATATGTACAGGTGAGTCACAGTCTATAATTCCAAATGGTAGCAGAGATGAAGTAATCTGCCCGTTTCTCAAAAGTCTCTCAGGGCAACCCAGAATAATTTTGGGGATCTCTGTTCTTGTTTGGTTATTCTGCCCCGTTAGAATCCAAACAGTCCAGAGATGAAGGATTTTTCCTTGTGTCCATACTTATAGCTTCTTGTCACAGAAAAGCAAGTCACTACCCACCTGGGCTCTTTCTCTGATGATGCGGAGAGAGAGGAAAGCATTTAGAGTCTTTGATCGTCATACATGACCACTTTTTTGAAATATGCAGGGATTAGCACCTTCCTGCTATAGTCCTTCATTTGCATTACACATTTGTTCTGTTTGATGGGTTACTTAGTTACAGAGTGTTACAGAGTGTCACAGGGCACTAGTTCAGGTGGTTCCGCAGTCATAAACACACACCAGGCTGTTTATCATTCACCAAGGTGTGCATTTATTTCCCTCTTACATCACCAGAACATGTAACATGGGCTTAGAGTAAGCACAGACTGCCCTGTAGCCCTCATTCTTCAGCCCAGGCTCACCCTCTGAGCTTCCTTCTGAGTTCCTCTTGAGCTCCTTCCTCAACTGCCTTTGCTTCATGTTTCCTCTCCTTATATTCTCCCCAATTACCTTGTTACCCCAGTGATTATCATCCGTGTGGTCACAATCCCCCACCAGAACGTCTGTAATTGTTAAGGATACAATTCAGTCATGGAGGTCACGGAAGTAATGGATTCTGTGACTTTACTGGAGCTCCATGACTTCGGCTTCAGCTGTCAGAAGCTGGGGCTGGAGTCAGGGTTGTGGGCCCCTCACCCTTGGTTTCAGCCGGGGCTGGGGATGTGTATCCCTCCATCCCTGTGGCTGTGGCCAGTGCTGGAGACAGGGCTGTGTGCCCCCCTGGTCCCCTGCGGTCAGAGCCTGGGCTGTGCACCCCCCCCACACACACATTGCCGCTTTGGTCCGTGCCAGAGCCGGGTCTGTGCATCTCCTCTCCCACGGCTTCGGCTGTGGCCGGAGCTGGAGTTGCTGCTCTGTGCCCCAGCCCCATGGCTTCAGCCAGGATTGAAGTTGGGACTGTGCTTCCCCTGCCCCGCCCTGCTCCTCCCCACCATGGCGGCAGGGCTGGGGTTGTCAGTCCACACCATGGGGCTTCAACTGTCATTCCTTCCCGCCCCCAACACACCCTCTCTTCCCTCATTATTTTTAGTAAAAGTCACAGACAGGTCATGGCTCCCATGAATTTTTTTTGTGTATATTGCCCGCGACCTGTCCATGACTTTTACTAAAAATAACCATGACAAAATCTTGACCTTAGTAATTCCCCCAGGCTTCAGCACTTTCAGTTATCAGGGATATATAGAATGCAAGTGTTCACTGTTACATTATAACATGGGGCATAGTTGAGTGAGAAAAATACATGCGTCATCCATCTGGTTTCCAACTATGCATTTGTAAATGTTCAGTGAGGCCTGGGGCCTTGGCATAAGCTGGCTCCTGGTCTGCCAGTGTCCCACCTGGCCTAAATGCATTGGAATACTTCAGGGCTGTGAGGTTCTTGTGTTTAAATACAATATGTGAAGTAATGTTTTTGCTTGTTTGGGTAGAAGAGATAACAGAATATGTGAACAGACTATGATCAACAGACTATTTCTTGTTTGACTGTTTTTTCGGCTTGGAAAGAATTCCCTATGAGTTGCAAGGAAAATCTTTAATCCTTAGGGATTATGCTCAGGCGTGTAATCCCTATTCACTCTTTTTTTCATTTTAAATTGTTCAGGTGGCATTAGTTAATGAAATAGAATGAATAATTATTTAACTTGACATTTTTGTTTTTTTTGCTTAACTGTGTTAACTTTGCAATCAGGGTGGATTGATTTAAAGCAAGGCAATTAAAGTCATGATTTAAATCACAAATTGGAAAGCCTTGATTTTAATCAATTTTTCCATGTGTACTTTAGTTATTTTCTAAATAACGGTGTTTTCTCATTGGTTGATATAACCATTAAAACATGTTGATTCACAACTAAATGGAGTCTTTGTACTAGATTTGGTACATCTTTTTGCTACCTAGAACAGTACGCTATAACCATCTACATTTATTTAAGCAATTATATTGCTTAATATTTTAAGATTTTTATTTATAGTACATTTTAGTATATTAGAAAATAGTGAATTATATACTGCTTATTTACTAGATAATTAATTTTAGCTCATGATTTGTGTTACGCAGCATTAGGATAGTGATTGGAATTTAATTAAACACACAAAACAGCTTATAAAATTTATTTTTATTAAAACAACCTTAATTGTTTTTGATATATAAACTTCTCTTATCAAAACACGTTTCACATTTACAACTAAATGATTTATTAAAGGAACAGAAGGATTAACTGTAGACAGTGAATTAAACTGACTATTTCAGTTTAACCTGGAGAAATTTTCAAATATGCCTGGATGAAAATGACTGGAGCTTAAGTTTCTACTCACGTATGTCTCTTGAAAATGAGACAACAGTCTCGTAAGTTATTTAAGCTGTCCTTTAAACTGTTAAAACTAGTAGATCTCATTCCTTCCCGTCTCATTTTTATTCCTAGACTGGAAGAGAGACAAGTTTTCCTGCTTTTTCAACTCCCAATCGATTTCTCAGCTTTAAATGAATTAATCCAAATGAAGACAATATTATTTCTGTGTGTGAAGAAGAGGCTACTGCTGTCAAAAGTTGGTTTAGCACTTCAACAGACTTTTGTTCCAGGTGCTTAGCTAGTGATTTCCAGTGGTGTGTTCAGTGATGTGACTTTCTTTAAAACGTCTTCAGCAAACGTGTACAGCTTGAGTAGTTCACCTCAAGCCCTGAAATTTATGATGGTTGGCATGACCATGGTGATTATTAGATGCCCATGTCAATCAGCATCATGTTCTTCAGCAGTTAGGCATCTACCCTTTTTTTGGAGGAGAATATTGGCAAAAATGAGAGAAAAGAGGGCCGTTTTTGCATGTGCAAATTATAAGGAGCATGGCTTAGTTAGGTTCTGCAGTATTACACTCTGCTTTCGTATTGGCTTATGCTATATTTTAGGTAGTGTATGGACAAGATAAAAATCTCTTTGTCTCTTGTGAAATGCCTTTGGTCTGCATTTACCTACCTATGGTTCCGAGTGGTAGTTAATGGGCACTGCAACTTTTCTGAATGACACAGGGCAAGTCCTTCCTATTTCATGTCCTTCCTATTACAAGTCCTTCCATCAGATGTTGCCTGGTGGTGGGCAATATTTTCAGTACCAAGTGTGTGCTATGGATTGCACACTTCAGGGTATGTGCCTGAATGCCTCTGCTTTTGTAAATTATAATGTGCCTTTCATATTACTCAAATACATTCATCTGTGGTTTAGTGTAGGCAGTAATTAGTTTGGATTTAGAAAACCATTTTAAATGTCTGGGTTAATTAAATATAGAAGGCTTTATTCTGATCTCAGCTATACAAGACATTGCAAAACATTATTATTGCTACTTTTATTATTATTTATTATTGTTATATGGCAGTGCTCATGCAATGCTAGGCACTTTTCAGGAATTTAAAACGGGATGGATCCGAACCCAGTAAGCACCCTGTCCAAAGACTGGTAGGTAGACAGAGGTTAGAGGAAGAGGAACAACGAATGGTTAGCTTTTATGCAAGTCAACATAGTAATGCTAACGCCAAACCTTCAAAAATTCTGAGTTAGTCTCTGCTCACCAAATCATGAGATTTTAAAAAAATAATACATTTTGTTTCTTTTTATAAGTGTTCTGGGTTTTGAGCCTTTATGGTTCACATTTTCAAGCTGTTCTCTGCAGTGGTGGAGGCTGTAAACTTCCTTTTTGTTTTGTAAATAAATGCTGAGATATTCACGTAATTACATTTTTCCAAGAGCGGAGGCTTTGAGAAAAACGTCAAATTTTGCCGGACTAATGTTAAAATTGCAAGAGTTGGCAGCACTGCAACTAGATCAAATGTAGGCAGCATGACAAAAGTGGGTGTTGAAGAAGGAGTTCAGAGAGAATGTAGCGGGAAAGGGACCTTGTGAATGAATTCAAACATAGTGTGAAATTTGCTGTGGGTCTTGTGTACATATGGGAGGTGGTAGGTAAGTGATGCAGGAATATTTGTTGTATATCTTGCGTGCACAGAATATGTAAGTACTCCTCTTTATGTAATATCTAAAAAATATACAGACTGAATAATTTACATAGGTTTATGTAATTTTGTCTCTTCTAGGGAGCATGACTTCTGCAACTTCACCTATCATTTTAAAATGGGACCCCAAAAGCTTAGAAATCAGGACTCTTACAGTAGAGAGGCTCTTGGAACCACTTGTTACACAGGTAAGTTGATTGTTTTTTACACTAGTTAGCTGTTGTCTTGAGTGTGATGCTGTATCTCAATGTATTGTTATTCTTAAATACTTATATTACAGTAGTGCTTAAGGGCTTCCAGGCAGTCTCCATGCGCTAGGCAGTGTGTAAACACATATTCAGGAGTTCTTGCTTTAGAGACTTTGCAGTCTAAGAGAAATATCATAAAAAGAGTAGTGGGAGAGGAATAACATCAGACAAATACAATGTATATATAGCTATAATAGATAACGACAATCAGCAATTATTCTTCTAACAATTATATATAAAGTAAATGCCAACTATCCCCTTTTGTCCCTCACATTATTATTAATTAGCAGTTTTCTTACAGACATTATGGCAGAGGTGGGCCTTGAGGAGTGGCCTGAAGGACAAGGGGTAGGCTTTCTTTTGAGTTTAATGCTGGCTTCTACAGTGAAAGTAAAACTGATATTAAACAAAAGTTCTATTTTTAAATGATATTTTTATGTGTGGCTCCCATACTGCTCATGTTGAATGATGTCACTTTCCAGCAAAATTGCTGCCACCATTAATATGTTTGTTTTGCCTTTTATATGTTGGAAAAAAAGGTATTTTATATTTTTCTTCAAATTACATTTGACAAGCCAGTATAAGGTAAATCTTGGCTACATGACTTTTGAGATTGCTGAAGTGATCAAATGGGTTGTGACACTCTGTACCTCGGGGGAACACCCTGCAACTCCATGTTCCCGCCATTTTCATCCTTATAATACGATTGTGTGGTATCCAATGCAAAGTTTGTCATGTCAGGTGTCTTCAGAAGGCTCATGATGCACTGAGCATTGTTGTTATAATAATGTTATAGGTTGTAATTTCATGTATATAGTTATGAGGCAGAAAATGTGTCTTCATGGCTTAAAACAAGCCCAGGAAAAACTCTCCAGGAGCAGAGGGGCAGTTCACACCTCATCAGGGCATGTATGGGACAAACCCAGCCCAGCCTCACAGGAACAAAGGACACTGGCCTAGGCAGCAACAAAGGATCTGTTGGACTTCCTTTGGTCAGTTTGGGACTAGGATGAGGTAATGCTCACCTGACTCTGAAGTGGCGGGGGGGCAAAGCCAAGAGGGAAGAAAGAACATGATAAAAGGGAGAGAAATTTGCCATGCTCTCTCTCTTCCACCTCCATCTACAGACACCACCACCAAGCGACTGAAGTGCTGATCAAAGGGGAGAGCCTGGCTGAAGAGCAACCAGCCAGTCTGTGGTGAGAAACATCTAAGTTTGTAAGGGCACCGAAAGTGTTAAGATCAGCTTAGAATGCGTTTAGCTTTTATTTCATTTGACCAAATCTTACTTGTTGTGCTTTTACTTATAACTACTTAAAAACTATCTCCTGTAGTTAATAAATTTGTTTGTTTATTCTACCTGAAGCAGTGCTTTTGGTTTGAAGCGTGTCAGAGACTTCCCTTGGGATAACAAGCCTGGTACATATCAATGTCTTTGTTAAACTGATGAAGTCATATAAGCTTGCAGCGTCCAGCGGGTATAACTGGACACTGAAAGATGGAGGTTCCTAGGGTTGTGTCTGGGACCGGAGATATTGGCTAGCATCATTCGGTTGCACAATCCAAGCAGCAGCTGGCCAAAGGTGCTCACTCACATAACTGGGAGCAGCTTACATGCTTGAGGCTGTGCGGGAACAACCCGGGAGTGGGGGTTCTCACAGCAGAGAGGGTAAGGCTGGCTCCCAGAGTCAAGGATTGGGGTGATCTAGCAGATCACTGGGCCAGAGAACACCAGGGGAACGTCACATGGGTGTGGCTTTCATTTAACATGTTAATGAACTCTCCTGACAAACCTAGACAGATACATCTGCTGCTAATGTGGAGAGCTCTTTTAAAATCTGCAAGATCCTAACATGCTGAGTTGGGGTGAGGAATTAGGTTATGGGTTGTCTTTCGCTCTGGTCCTGCTGATAGAAGGGGAAGTCAGGCAAAGTTATAGCAGGATGACTCTGTTAAGCAGTAATAGGTCAGGAGAGGGCAGCCTTTACTAAAGGGTGAAAATTCTGCCAGGAGGGGAAAGTTCCAGGGTCTCTGAGAGGATGGTTGAAGACTTCAGATGAAAGCAGTAAAGCTCCTGTTAGGTTGGGACTAGTGATTTAAACTCAGGTTTCTGGATTTGCCTTGGTGATGGTTGGTGTTGCTGGGTGTAAGATCAGCAAGACTCATGTACATAATGTAAATAATTATACCTGACTTTGTGACATCATTTTATCCAACAATAGAAACTAACATGTGCCCTGAAGTCCACCACCATTTGGATGAGTGCAGCAACATGTTGATTTTTTTCATAGTTTGGCACCAAGATGAGAGTGGGAGGCCAGCAGATGGAGGGACGTGATCGTTCCCCTTTATTCGACATTGGTGAGGCCTCATCTGGAGTACTGTGTCCAGTTTTGGGGCCCACACTACAAGAAGGATGTGGAAAAATTGGAAAGAGTCCAGCAGAGGGCAACAAAAATGATTAGGGGGCTGGAGCACATGACTTATGAGGAGAGGCTGAGAGAACTGGGATTGTTGAGTCTGCAGAAGAGAAGAATGAGGGGAGATTTGATAGCTGTTTTCAACTACCTGAAAGGGAGTTCCAAAGAGGATGGATCTGAACTGTTCTCAGTGGTAGCAGATGACAGAACAAGGAGTAATGGTCTCAAGTTGCAGTGGGGGAAGTTTAGGTTGGATATTAGGAAAAACTTGGTCACTAGGAGGGTGGTGAAGCACTGGAATGGGTTACCTAGGGAGGTGGTGGAATCTCCTTCCTTCAAGGTTTTTAAGGTCAGGCTTGACAAAGCCCTGGCTGGGATGATTTAGTTGGGGATTGGTCCTGCTTTGGGCCGGGGGCTGGACTAGATGACCTCCTGAGGTCCTTGCAACCCTGATATTCTATGATTCTGTGAATGCACAGTCTAGCTTCAGGAGGGGGAAATTGAACCAGTTTGTACATTTCAGAGTTTGTGATGGTCCCTAAGCAACTTCTTGATTTCATAGATTTTTGAGGCCATAAGGGACCTTTAGATTTCCTAGTCTGACCTCCTGTATAACACAGGATTTCAAACAGCCACCCTGTTTCGAGTCCAATAACTTGTGTTTGACTAAAGCATATCTTCCAGAAAGGAATCCACTCTTGATCTGAAGACTTCAAGAGGTGGGAAATTCACTGCTTCCCTTGGTAATTTGTTCCAGTGGTTAATCATTCTCACTGTTCTTTTTTAAAGTGCCTTCTTTATCATTTGAATTTGTCAGCCATTGGTTCTTATTATGCCTTTCTCAGGTAGATAAAAGATCCTGTTAATCCTGGTATTTTCTCCCTGTAAAGGTACTTGTATACTGTAATAAAGCCACTGCTCAATCTTCTTTTTGATAAACCAGATACATTGAGCTTCTTAAGTCTCTTGCTGTAGGAATATTTCTTCAGCTTTCAAATAATTTTTGTTGGACTTTTCTGCTTTGCTTATGACTGGCCCTGCTAGTTTGAAATGTTCTGAGCATAGTACATTTATTTTTAACAGAAACATATTACACAAAAATGATTGCTTTTGAATTTGTTTGACAGTGATGTTCCATCTCCTTTCCATATATGGAAGTCTTCCTGTGGAATTCTGTTGCTGTGACATCTCATGGTCAATGTAGTCAGCCCTTTGCTCCCACTAAAATGGAATTGTAGGAGACACATTGAAAATTATATAGGGCCTTTTCAAAAAGAGTGTAAGCTAAAATATTCAAGTTCTTCTCAATGTGATTGCCTTTGTCTATTCCACTGTAGGTGTGTGCGTGCCTCGTGCATGGTTGTCAGAGGATTTTTCCCTCAGCAGTACCCGTTGGGGCAGCACAAGTGCCCTCTGGTACCTCATGCCACTGTACACCAGTATAAAGGCCCAATCAGCTCCCAACTCCCCTCAGTGCCTTCCTGCCACCAGTGACAGTTGTTGGAGCTGTTATCTTTGCATTTGCAAGTCTTCCCTCCCTTCTTGTATATATAGTACCTGTCATGTTAGTTTAGCATAGAGTAGTGTATTTTGTACGTAGCTAGAGATTAGAGTAAGTTTAGTTTAGTTTAGTTCTTAGAGACGTGCAATCTCTGGGGCCCGTTTGGGTACTGATCCAGTGCTGAAAGGCAAATGTTGTGTTCTCCTTGCTTCAAGGCCTGCTGCTCATGTGGCAAACCTATGTCAGTGAGCAACCTTTACCCCAGCTGCCTTAAATATTTGGGGGAGCACATGTAGATGACAAATATCACATTTGTAGAGGGGTTCAAACCTTGTTCCAAAACGAACAGGGCTGCCAGGCTCCAGTACTTAGTCATGGAGTCTGCATTTCACCCTCCATTGGAACATTCCCACTTGGAGCAGATACTGAGCATGTCCAAGTCTTTCAGCCTTAACATTTTTTCCCCTTGTTTTTGTGGTTTTATGTTACAGATGATCTATATGTAATATACCTAACTCACACACAAGTGGTTTTGTGTACTAATAGGAAGAGATTCAGGCAAAATAGCCTTTACTGGTAATACCCAAATAACTAAAACAAAACTCATCACCGCTGGCAATAAGCATTTCTTTCTTAAACAACGTATTATACATTCAGTTACACAGAATTTACAATGCAATTGTTAATAGTGGCATCTGGTGACTTCCAGTGGTTATAGAACCAGGGGGAGATTATTCAGAAATGAAAATTGTTGAATAGGTTACAAAAATTTTGGACGCAGAAGCAATGCAAAAATATATTTAAACTTCTTTGTTCTTCTTCTTTATACCTTCAACTAACAAATATTTGCCAATTTTTCTAAATATAGGTGCCTAAATCTGTATTTAAATACCTAAATATTGACCTGACTCTTAAAAGGTGCTGAGCATCTATCGCTTCCATTGAAGTCAATGGGTGCTACAGGTACTCAGTGCCTCTAAAATCAAACCATTTTTCAATTAGTCACCAAAATTTGAATA